AACGAAAACGTTGGCAACAAGGTCGTCAATCTAATGCTTACATTCGGAAGTGACCACATTTCCAGTGATGTGCGCCATAAGTTGAGGTCAGCTCTATAGACCACACATTACCAGCTGCTCAACTCAGACTCGCTGACTCGTGGCTGGCAAACCGGTTGCGTCTCACACACTGTATACCGGTTCCCCGACAGTTGCGTTGACGCATGGGCAGAGCATACTGCCAGCTCTCAACGGATGACCGAACATATTCTAAAAGCGATTGGTGAAATCAGTGACGCAACCGATGGTTAATGGTCAAGTGATTACAAGAAATCCAAGGTCATCTGTTACAAAACATATCACGAATACGAGACACACAGATGGACCCAATTTGTCTTTCAAACCAATATTACATATAGAAAACGGTATTCGCGAAGAAATTTCTTTTCGATATATCGCATCAGGCGTTTACATATACAAGGTGATCACCATACAGATGTCTGATTGGCTGATTAGAGCTCAGTTAGTAACGATGACAGAGGCGAGCAAACAGATTAAAGGAATATGACAAGGCTAATTAGATAGTCATACATAGTCATACATAATCGCAATGTTAAACGTTTGGCGACTAGTTGAGAGTCGCCTATTCGATTCGACTGTGTGCACAAAATTTTTTCACACAACCAATTCACTTACTATGCAGTTAGCCTACTTCTATATTTAGTAATATTTGTATACTCCAACTCGTTCATTCACCGTCATTGGACAAACCCACAAGCTACAGTCAATCTCTTGCTATGTCTCACCCATCGAGAATTCGAAAAAGTGAGTAAATTTCAGGAACTGTGATACAGCAGTAGTAGATGCTACTACTTAATAGTAGTATGAACAATCAGTAGGGAGTTTTGTGACAAAATAAACCGGATCGATGGCAATACGTTAATTCCGTTACTTATTCCCAGTGCCTTTAATTATTTACCGTATATTTATAACATAATTTAAGCATAACGTCATGTGTGTTCTTTATGTATCGAAGAAATTGCAATCTTTTATGATGCCCTCAACTTAATATTGGTACATTGCATCCGGTATGTAGCCCTTCTTCAGTTTCAAGTTTCTAATTATCCCGAAACTACGCACTTTTCTTCAAAGGAATTTGTTCTAATCCAAGCAGCGCATATTAATTCCAGATATTCCCTCATTCTGTTGCAATGTTAAGCAAAGCACAGAAGTGAGTATATGGCGTCCACCATACTATGCAACTGTTTTAGCTATAAGAATCACATCAATTTTAACTAATTCGATGAAAACAGGAACGAACCAGGACGAACACAGTGAGAACACGGGACAAAAAGTCGCTATCGAAGGCACTCAGGTCATCTAAAACAAGTAAAATATCCGTTACGTAGGATATATTTCAAACCGATTATTCGCGGTGCAATCTATTTAGGATTTTCGGGTGAAAAATGTGTGGTAATAGCTCTCTACATCTCTATTCGTTGGTTCGCTTTTGTTGTTGACGGTCTATGGTGAAACCGATTTATATATGCGTTACGGCCAGTGATGGATTAAGTTCAACACGTGATTCACAAGTTAAAAACGCATTTTTCAGTCAGGAGCGCGAATCATACACGGGTTACGATGACCTGTGGCCAATGATCTGTCTAATTTCATCGATGCTCTATCAAGGACATTTGTGATTATCGTTCATTTATACGGCGGTTATCGATTGCTCCAAACTGGCATCTTACTCCACACACCCACTTACCAGACCAAGTTTGATACTCTAAATTGATTGCGCCACTCACACAAGGTGATGATCGTCGACCGTATAGCTCAGGGCTAGGGGTTTGAAGTCCCAACCCGAATGTTCGCTGTTCGAGTCCTCATAGGGACACAAAAGTACGCACTGTTGACCAGTCCCAAACAAGCCGAAACAGCTGTCAAGTGCTTTTTGTTTCGGTTATTACAAACACTTCCATCACATGTGGAGTGGTACATAGTTGTTTCACCGTCTCTCCAGGCACACACACACACACCCATCCTGCGCAACGTTGGTCACAGTCCAGGCATGAAATTGCGTACACAATCCGTGATTGGCCATATGGGTCTATGAGTAATTGCTGTTGAACAAAATTGACTGCTGTGTTGTTATAGCTCTATGGGCAATAGTAAAATACACAGGACGAAGGATGTGATTGACTTCTAATGCCCCACATATGTATGATGTATATATATATATATACCGATATAAAACCCTCTTACAACATGCATCAGGATTGTTGGATTGACAAAACTGGGAATATTAATACCGAGATTTGACTCGTTCTCGTGGTTGTCATTAGGATTTTTGGTGGTATACAAAAGAAAACAGCACAGCACAGCCCTAGTTGCGTCAAGGAGCATTCCGCAGAGTATCGCTGTTCACCAATGATCACATAAGATACATCAATCTATGAACAATTCCTGTGTCACGGTGCCGATATCCCAACTGGTTTTCCACATTTGTTGAGTAACTAACAAGCTGGTTGATCTTTCGAGGGATGATATATGATACTTGAGTTCAGACTTGCCACGTTACTCGCTACTCGGTTTAATTCATCTGTGTGATGGAATACGCGTACGGGGTGAGCAACAGCGCATAAATAGTGCGATCATTTTTCACTTTTCACCAAGTTTGCTGATCAACCCCGGGAACAGTGAATTAGTACTGAAAGCGTTACATTCACGAATGGAGAAGATTTCGGCTGCATGCCACTTGAACAAGCAGGTTCAATTAAGTTATTCAGCTGTTTACTCAAACAAGGGAATACCAAATGTTGACTGCCCTCAACAGCTCTTTATCTGCCGTACGAAGTCCATACTGAGACAAACCCCTATCACTATTTTAGCTTGTCTCGCTGTTTAATTACTCATGTATGCGAATTAATAAAATCCACTCTCCCCAGATAAGTGTATGATTTCAAAAGGTGGAGTTTTTTAGTATAAAGCCAATGAAATGTGAACCGGAAACCCAGGAAGCACTGAAAAGTTGTTTTGACCTGGTTGGGTCTCATCATCAGCGCGTGAATCTATCGACCAAACTGAGGACCGAATCACAGACTTCAAAGGCAGAACGCAAGCATGCTAACTCTTCGACTACCGAATACTTGATCAGACCGTTTTTCATTTTCCATTTACACGATAAAGCATAACCCATCTTTGCGAATCATAACCCTGGACGCTAGTGCTGAGATGAGCAAGATGCGTTGCCCGCAACGAGCAATTTTCCCTCTGAAATTAGATCAAATTGTCCGCTTTTGATTTTCAGTTTCGATTGAACCGGAATAAACTCTCCGCGGACCCTTTTCACCTAACGCAACACGTGTGAAATCACGTGAGAATTTGGCACTGCACTTGATTTTTCACACGTATGCCCACACAATCATATTCCGATTTCTGTACCACTAAAATCTTGAGATTTTATTCTTCCATCTGATATTGGTCACCATCATGAATGTCAATCATTGGCACGATCAGAAAAATCTGATAAAGTGGTTAGTAGCATCCTGTAAGACTTTTCAAAAATTAAAAAATAGAAAATTCGTCAATCCCAATTAAGATGATACAATATACTGATCTATCCACACAAACACACCGGAAAATTGACGTTATCGTCCAATCAGGAAGCGTTTGTTGTGCGACTCGGTCCTTCTTTAACAACCGGAAAGATCTACGTAATCCAGCTAAGTTCAATGTCAACAGCGCATGCGCGTAGCCTTTGCGCGACTCAACTCCTTGGTTCTTTAACCCATATGTTGGTTTCAGATCCCTAGAAAATAAATCTCAATGGTCAAATATTGCTACGTCACCGCAATCTATGCAATCAATAATAATAAGTAACCAATAAGATTACATGAAAATATTGATCCCTCCTAATATTTGCTAGGGAAAGATAAACAGAAAATGTGCACCTGGAGAAATGAATGATATAAGGAATACCGGGGATCCATCCATTTATGCATACACACACACACACACAATCGAGCCACGATCAGGAGGATCATTGCTAACGATTTCGATAATCACATTTGGGAGTAGCCATGCAAAATAGATTAAACGGATCCAGATAATATCTCGATCGAGTAACTTTTTCCAGTATCGTCTATCCGATATTTTTCATCCAATCTGATTTAATTTCTCCCCCCCCCCCCCAAACTGAAG